AAAGAACGGAAGCCTCGGCCGAGTGCATCACTCAATAACCGATTCCTTGGATAAGTAACAAGCCCGCACATATGTTCCGTTCAATTAACAAATAGTCTGCAGAAAGAAGGGGATCTTCGTACTTAGAGCTTAAGAAGCAAAGAACGAGGTCACTAACCTCGTGCTCAGGACCCTAGAGTTGACTCAGCCAAACAAACCTGACACAGCATTTGATTCGGTCATGTAAAATCAAAAGTCTTAAAACAGCCACACCAAAATGAAACCGTTCTGAAACCTTGTCCATATGGTACAGAGTCGCAAAAGAAACAGATCGAGAAGCGAGACTGTCTAACAGAAGGAAAAATCGCGAAATAATTGGGACCCGCAAAAAAACACGCCACTTTAGCTCTGAACCCCATGCACATGCCCACTAGACCGAAATAGTTTAGGCAACATCACTGACATACGTGGAATGTGATGTCTCCAAGGAAGCCAGAGACAACGGACACACGATCATTTTGGCTGCACATCATAAAAAAATAATCGGCAATTGCCCTTCCAAGTAGATGAATAGAATTCAAGGCGCGCTCACGACCGGATGAGAAACGAATCCGCAAAATACCACGCGAATGTAACAGCAAGTCTTGTCTTCTGTGTATCAGGACAAATCCCATGGGGGCAATCAGAAAAAGAAAGTTGACGGAAACGACTCCAAAGCTTGGCAACTGAAAATGGTTCTGGTCAAAGGACTGCAGGAACATGCGAAGCCCAAGCGTACGTGTCAGCCCTACCCATTACCTCGCTGGAATGCTAGACCGAGAATATAAAAAGGGACCACAAAGTTGCCACGAAAAAAGTACAAGAAGACAAACACAAATTCACAGGTGTATTTGGACTGTAAAGATTACAAGGTGAACGAGATTGTAAATGCTCCAGGTAACATGAAAGACCTTAGTCTTCATCAGTGGCCCTTGGGTCGCGTGGTTTCGGACCGCCAGCTGGCCTTGACATTATTATCTGGAAGCAAACACCAAAAACATTTTGAATGGGCGTAATAGAAACAAAAAGGGTCTACGCCAGTACGGAGATACATGTGCTTAAAGAGTGCATGCAAGTATGCCCTTGGAAACTATTCTGCAATCTTTAGAAGAGGT